TAGTGCATTTTCCACATACTATATTGTCAGAACAGGATAATCGACTAAAATGAAGCTTTTGAGGCGATCTCAATAAATGCGATACGAATCGCTCTGAATGGCAGTGAAATAAACCACTGTCGTTTCTAAAACGATTTCCAAAAGTTGTATGAAACACTCACAATTCATGAACATATTATTCAATTTTGATATACGTAGATATTGTTTAAGATTGTTTGTAATGTATATTATCTGTATGCAACATTCATGAAGATCATATCTTAGAGGATGATCGAGGTGTGGAGGACGAGGACGAAGAGTTCGCGATCTCATCGAAACCGAAACAACTCAGTTCCGATGTTGTTCGCTGTGAGTTCCATGTACTATTTAGTATTCATCCGGCCCACTTAACTCATGAGTATATTGAACAATCTAAAGAGCAAAGTTGAGCTTGAGTAGTGCCACTGATGGACAATGGTCTGTTTATATGGTGAATTAAACGATGCGTGATTTGAATGCGAGAAGATGTCTGGCAAGAGAATTGTTTATTTGATGATTAATTAGATAATAAACGACCGGGAATTAGAACAGCAGCAGCAGCAGCATAACTGACTGCAAATGAAACAACAAAGAGGATTCGAAGAGAGGGGAAGGGGTAGGTATGAGTAGAGGATGGGGCAATGAATGCACAGCACGGAATTATACAACCGTTTCTAATGAACGGACTTATGAGATTGTTGTTGATAACAACAATTAGAACAGCATCAACAACAATATAATAGTAATCTTACATCGAATAAACAATTAAACTCATCTCGAACACATACATCACTCTAGTCTGATATCCTTTTGGTTACAATACGTGCCACTCAACCGTTATTCCAATCAACACAATGCGTTTCACATCGAATCATGTAGTTTACCTCAGTGCTCCAGGTTTGTTGCAAGCAATCAATTTTTGCCATTAATCTCTTTTTTATCCGTGGACAAGAATCCTGATTCGGTTACCTTCGTCGTAAATTTAGAAAAATTTCTTGCAATCGGCGTGAAAATATTTCTTGTCTTGAATATCGCTGTGTATCATCCATTCAAATGGAACTATCATATATTCTGGTGTGTTTCATGGTATCAAATATTTGAACAGGCGCATCTTTTGAATCAACAGAAAGTGTTTATCGACGAAATATCACCGAATTCTCAATGTTTTTTAATCGTTTCACAATTGGAATGAGTGTCGAACTTCGAAGTTTATGAATGATCAATGGAATGAGTTTCAAAAGAATCAGAATGGATGAAGGTGGAGAATCGTCGCATTTTTATCAGTCATTTCGAATTGAGTTTTCAGCTGGAGCGAAAACCGCCGACGACTTTTCACAGCTCGGTTCGCTGAAGGATCGTAAAAGCGATTGGGAAAGCTCCGCGAAGGAAACGACAGTGGTCGATAAGAAAACGTCTGCGGTTGAGGAGGAAATTGCCGCAGGCAAAGTTAAAGCGAACCTCGAAAGGTTTTCAAATTCGTTTTGTGATATTCTCAAGATTCTTGGAATAGTTCGAATAACTTTCAAATTCTCCGCTCCCTCATCATGCAATACGCACTAACCGCAGTTGAAGCCAACATAAGCTAACTGGTGAATTCGGCTTGAACCGAAGTGAAAGTGCACGGAACTGAGTTGTTTGTAGTGGTACTTATTGACTATGAGAGTGAGATATGACGTCTGAGAATGAAAATGATCCATTTGATCATACTCATATTACAATGGTTTTGATCACGTTATTGTGGTCGATTGAATTGCTCAGCGTCCGAAGTTTTTAACTTGAAGAAGCGCAAGGAAGTTTTCAGGTTCGTCACTGGTGCAGCAAATGAAGCAGAAGAGGACG